ATTGATATACCATGATTTTATCCTGCACCCTGGAGAGTGCTAGAGTGGCCGGCAGTGTTGAAAATCTGATAATTGATATACCATGATTTTATCCTGCACCCTGGAGAGTGCTAGAGGGGCTGGCAGTGTTGAAAATCTGATAATTGATACACCATGATTTGATCCTGCACCCTGGAGAGTGCTAGAGTGGCCAGCAGTGTTGAAAATCTGATAATTGATATACCATGATTTTATCCTGCACCCTGGAGAGTGCTAGAGTGGCCGGCAGTGTTGAAAATCTGATAATTGATATACCATGATTTTATCCTGCACCCTGGTTACATTTCGAAAGATGAAGAACATATTATACCAACAGGGCCAGTGATGTGAATTGTAATTGAATAAGTAGGATTATACTACCTAATCTCTGATTGGTTCACGTGACCAGGAATGCTTCGTGACAAAGCATATATTGTACATATCGAATCTGTATGCCAAATATTAAACATATTTAAGTTGTATTGTGCATGTCATATAGAGCATGTTTATATAGTTTTTGAGCTCTGTATCTAGAACACAGACAGGCACTTCATGCACAGAGGGCCATGTACAGGTAGAGAGAAGCTATACATTTAGGTGAGGTGTGGTGAAATTGGGTTTAACGTCGTGCTTGAGAATAGTTCGCTCGTATGACGAGGTGCATGCGTGTGTATGTGTATGTGTGGCTGCTTGTACTAGCCCAGACTGAAGCTGGTTTCATAGTGCTAACCCACTGAGATATCATGCCGCAGTGAAGCATGAATACCCCACTCCGACACATTATACTGACTCCGAGCCGACCAGTCCTTGTTGTACCCATTAATGCCGAGCGCCAGGCAGGGACCAACAAGTACCATATTTTAACGTCTTTTGGTATGACGCGACCGGGGATCGAACCCGCGACCTTCCGCTCTCTGGGCGGACGCTCTAACCACTACACCACGGAGGCGGTTCTATACATTTAGGGCACAAGGGACACGTTTATGAGAGAAAAGAGAGACAGACATCTTATATATGTTGTAGGACAGAGTCACGTCTCATTTGATAAAAGACATGTGCTCGACATTCAGGGAGTTTGTAGGATCCCTGTCAGGAACCTGGATGTCAGATCCTAGAATTTTAACTAAGCACGTCCTATGATCATATAACTCAGTCAGTAAAAGAAACATTAGGTAAATTAAACGGTACAGAGGCATATTGTTTCTTGGGCTCATTTTGCAATTTTATAGAGTTTTTTCTTTAAATACATAGATGCGAATTGATATTGGTTTTCACTTTTTGTCTCGTGTAAACCACGCGATACTTACTAAATGGGACCAAGTGACAAGCAACCCTCAGTACCCCTTGCGTGAACTTTAAGGTCGAAACCGGAAATATTCAAGTCTTATGGCGGCGAGCCTGACCACCAGATCCCGTTATTCGCCTCTACGACAAGCATGTGCTGTTGAAGACCATGAAGAAGGGACCAATATGGGGATCGGATGACCGGAAGTGGACTTAGCGTGTACTCGTTCACAGACAGCCTGGGACGTAGCACATAGGTCTTGTGCCACTGAATGATTTGTAAACACAAATATAAATTGGTGTGTCCTCAAGTGAAGCCCTTTATCGCTATTTGTGAACCACGTCCCATAGCAGAAGTAAAGATAAGTAAAGATATTGGTTTGCGCATGACACACGGCATGGGGAGATGAGCCCTGAAACATCTATTCACCAGCAAGTCACTATGAACAAACCCCGCCTTGCTCGTGTGATGGTAACTGTGCAGGAAGATGAGATACATACACTTCCTATCCAAAGCCCACAGCAATCAAGGTGACGTCTTCTGTCACAGTCGCTAAGAACGTCTGACGTATATGGCCTTCATGAGAAAGGAGTGGTATAAAGACGTCACTTGGTCTGTACAGCGAACAGTTCATGGTACCCATGTGGTGGCATGTGGGTCACGTTGGGTGAAACTGATCACTGCTGACAGTTGTATATTGCAAGGTTGTGTAATATATCCCTAAAGTATACAATTATACAATACATAGGTGTCTAATATATCCCTAAAGTATACAATTATACAAAACATAGGTGTCTAATATATCCCTAAAATATACAATTATACAATACATAGGTGTCTAATATATCCCTAAAGTATACAATTATACAATACATAGGTGTCTAACATATTCCTAAGGTATACAATTATACAATACATATGTGTCTAATATATCCCTAAAGTATACCATTTTACAATACATAGGTGTCTGATATATCCCTAAAGTATACCATTATACAATACATAGGTGTCTAATATATCCCTAAAATATACAATTATACAATACATAGGTGTCTAATATATCCCTAAAGTATACAATTATACAATACATAGGTGTCTAATATATCCCTAAAATATACAATTATACAATACATAGGTGTATAATATATCCCTAAAGTATACCATTATACAATACATAGGTGTCTAATATATCCCTAAAGTATACAATTATACAATACATAGGTGTCTAACATATTCCTAAAATATACAATTATACAATACATATGTGTCTAATATATCCCTAAAGTATACCATTTTACAATACATAGGTGTCTGATATATCCCTAAAGTATACCATTATACAATACATAGGTGTCTAATATATCCCTAAAATATACAATTATACAATACATAGGTGTCTAATATATCCCTAAAGTATACCATTATACAATACATAGGTGTCTAATATATCCCTAAAATATACAATTATACAATACATAGGTGTCTGATATATCCCTAAAGTATACAATTATACAATACATAGGTGTCTGATATATCCCTAAAATATACAATTATACAATACATAGGTGTCTAATATATCCCTAAAGTATACAATTATACAATACATAGGTGTCTAACATATTCCTAAGGTATACAATTATACAATACATATGTGTCTAATATATCCCTAAAGTATACCATTTTACAATACATAGGTCTCTGATATATCCCTAAAGTATACAATTATACAATACATAGGTGTCTAATATATCCCTAAAGTATACAATTATATAATACATAGGTGTCTAATATATCCCTAAAGTATACAATTATACAATATATAGGTGTCTAATATATCCCTAAAGTATACAATTATATAATACATAGGTGTCTAATATATCCCTAAAGTATACAATTATACAATACATATGTGTCTGATATATCCCTAAAGTATACAATTATACAATACATAGGTGTCTAATATATCCCTAAAGTATACCATTATACAATACATAGGTGTCTAATATATCCCTAAAATATACAATTATACAATACATAGGTGTCTGATATATCCCTAAAGTATACAATTATACAATACATAGGTGTCTGATATATCCCTAAAATATACAATTATACAATACATAGGTGTCTAATATATCCCTAAAGTATACAATTATATAATACATAGGTGTCTAACATATTCCTAAGGTATACAATTATACAATACATAGGTGTCTGATATATCCCTAAAGTATACAATTATACAATACATAGGTGTCTAATATATCCCTAAAGTATACCATTATACAATACATAGGTGTCTAATATATCCCTAAAATATACAATTATACAATACATAGGTGTCTGATATATCCCTAAAGTATACAATTATACGATACATAGGTGCCTGATATATCCCTAAAATATACAATTATACAATACATAGGTGTATAATATATCCCTAAAGTATACAATTGTACAATACATAGGTGTCTAACATATTCCTAAGGTATACAATTATACAATACATATGTGTCTAATATATCCCTAAAGTATACCATTTTACAATACATAGGTCTCTGATATATCCCTAAAGTATACCATTATACAATACATAGGTGTCTAATATATCCCTAAAGTATACAATTATACAATACATAGGTGTCTAATATATCCCTAAAGTATACAATTATATAATACATAGGTGTTTAATATATCCCTAAAGTATACCATTATACAATACATAGGTGTCTGATATATCCCTAAAGTATACAATTATATAATACATAGGTGTATAATATATCCCTAAAGTATACAATACATAGGTGTCTAATATATCCCTAAAGTATACAATTATACAATACATAGGTGTCTGATATATCCCTAAAGTATACCATTATACAATACATAGGTGTCTGATATATCCCTAAAGTAAAAAACTATACAATACATAGGTGTCTAATATATCCTAAAGTATACAATTATACAAGTGTATTGATGGATACAGAAGTGTATTGATGGATATAGAAGTGTATTGATGGATACAGAAGTGTTTTGATGGTTATAGAAGTGTATTGATGGATACAGAAGTGTATTGGTGGATATATAAGTGTATTGATGGATATAGAAGTGTATTGGTGGATATATAAGTGTATTGATGGATACAGAAGTGTATTGATGGATATAGAAGTGTATTGATGGATACAGAAGTGTATTGATGGATACAGAAGTGTACTAATGGATATAGATGTGTATTGATGGATATAGAAGTGTATTGAGTGCTAATGAAAATGCCTGTAAATGATTCTGTGAGGTACCTCCACAGCGCATGCTACGAATCCTAAACACAACCCGAACGACGTTAAACCCCATCTCATGTCACCTGTATGTACATGTGTTGTCGGGTACATACACCACCTGCCTGAGTGCATATATACCTACTGACTAAACTCTGTCAGCTGATTCTGTTTTGCTGTTAAGAAATGAGTGTGACGTAATGGACAACCGGCTGTACAGGATTGTGGCGTAATGGCTCTCTTGTTTTTCAGGGCGGTGGGGTAACCTAGTGGTTAAAGCGTTCGCTCGTCACGCCGAAGACCCGGGTTCTATTCCCCACATGGGTACATATGTGAAGCCCATTTCTGGTGTCCCCCGCCGTGATGTTGCTGGAATATTGCTAAAGAGGGCGTAAAACTAAACTCACTCACTTGGTTTTCAGGCTGACAACGTTGAACTCCATCCGATGCAGTTAGCATCAGCCTCCAACTCGGCTGCATCACACGCAACATACAGCGAGGAAGGTAGGTTGATGAGGAGCCAGATGATGAGGAGCCAGATGAGTACGAGCTCTTAAAGATGCATGGTTGTGGACCGTAACCGTCTGTGGTTTAATGGCTGGAGACCCTAACCCTTACGGAACACTTGAGTATTTACTCACGTGTTAACACTAATGTTTGGGAGCCTTTATCCAGGGTAGAATATCAGAAGTCCAGCTGGCCCCCCTCTTATTAAGCAAATTAAGTAATTAAACACTATCACTGGTCAGTGAGATGTCTCTGGGCAATACTCAAAGGGGTGACAGCGGGTAGGGAGGTCACTAATAGATGACCAGCCCTCCCACGCTAATCAGGCACACGTGCTGTCCTCCCGAATATAGTACTGGACAGGGGATCCAAAAATAGCCCCTGATCAGCAGAACACTGGACAAAGGACACTTTGGCCAAGTCATCCCAGATATCCAATAACGATAATGAGGCAAACCCATTAAGTTTAAGACAAACGGAAGAACATCGAGCAAAGTGCATTTTGGCCAGTAATTTCAATGTCCAGATATGATGATTAGAGGCCTAATTAGGATTAAGGGCAAATGGGGAGAGCGAAGAAGGTTGACTCGTCACTGACCAGATGCGAAGGGGGGCCAAAGACAAAGGACCAAGAATGACCAACCCTGGGTATATAACGGGACAGGCAATAGGCCTGGGAGAAGAAGCTGCAGAGAAGTTCGAGCCTACGCTTGAAAGTGTAGCACTGAATAAACAGTTGTGGACCCGCAGACAGACTTGTGTTGTTCATGCCAAGACATCCATATTGAGTAACAACATCATCTCTAAGTGCGATACACAGTTGAATGTATCTTTCGATACTGAGTATATATTTTACTTCATCTAATGTAGTCAATTGTGTCTGCTTAAACCACTGAGTTGACTTTTAATAAAATATCTCTGCTTAAACGCTACTTCATAAGACTTCTGATTGGTGGTGGCAGCAGCAGCAGAGGCAGTGGTGGCGGTGGAGTTGTATTGTCTGTCTCCGTCTCCCCACAGATTACCTGACCAAAGACCGCCAACACCGGGTGTCGTACAACACCGCCACCAGACTCCGTGTTGCTGCTATAGCTGTGTCCTGGGCTTCTGTTATCTTCGCTCTGTCCACGGGAATCATCGCTATAGGTGAGTGAGTGAGTGAGTGCTCTCCACTGTTAGTATTCCCGAAGTTGGTTCTGATATGAAGACACACTATCACATACATAGACATCCTGTTGGATCCCATCAGATACCTGCATATGTTTAATTAGATTACTTATCTTTACAATGATTATACAGTAATGTAAAGTAAGGATGGTTCATTGTTCACTGTAAAGTAATATTCCTTGTTCACTCTTAAGTAATGTTCCTTGTTCACTGAGAAGTAATGTTCTTTGTTCATTGGGGGCGGTGGGTTAGCCTAATGGTTAAAGCGTTGGCTCGTCACGCCGAAGACCCGGGTTCGAATCCCCACATGGGTACAATGTGTGAAGCCCATTTCTGGTGTCCCCCGCCGTGATGTTGCTGGAATATTGCTAAAAGCGGCGTAAAACCAAACTCAGTCAGTCAGTCAGTCATTTCATTGTAAAGTAATGTCAATGACCTTCTGTTTCAGTGTTCAGTACTCTTGAAGGAAGCCAGTCTCTGTTTGGATATGGGGTAGGCGCAATGTCCTCGTCTTCGTCCCATGCCCAATCAAACACACTAACTTTACCCCAGACTCTGAATCAAGAGTTCTCATTACTATTTATCAGTGATAGATATCACTAATTTGACGCCAAATTTAGAAGAAATGTTTTTCAGATAATGTAAGTCAGCTTCTGGACAACGGAGTTTACCAATTTGTCCTCTGCTTGCTGCGGCTTAGCAGGAGATAACAATAGTACTAATCCGTATATTATAACTTTGAATAAGCCTAAACAACAACTAATTATTGACATCAAGTCGGTTGATTGATATACATTCACATCCTGAGAAGAAAAAAATATACATCAAATCATTTCCGTCTTCAAGAACAATGTTGTCAAATGAAATACGGTATTGTGTCCTATTCTCGGTATTGTGAGATAGTGAAGATTGTTGAAACTAGTGTCTCCCTGGAAATTTGGAAAACACATATCCATTTTTCCAGTCAAGAGCTGGTTTATCGTTTCTCTGATTTTCTTCCTGTCACGTGCATGCATTCTTGTCATTATTGCTCATATTGATTTAATGTCCGTGTTATTTGCATTGTCCAGCTGGATGCTCTTTTGGACGGGATTTCGTCCATGGTCGTCCTATGGAGGTTTTACGGTAGTGACCGATCCGTGTATTCAGCGAAACGGGAACGGATGTAAGTATAACGGACACCTGTCCCAGGATCTCAAGTCCTTAGAACGACGGATGTAGTATAACGGACACATGTCCCAGGATCTCAAGTCGTCAGAGGAACGGATGTACGTATAACAGACACATGTCCCAGGATCTCAAGTCGTCAGAGGAACGGATGTAAGTATAACGGACGTCTGTCCCAGGATCTCAAGTCGTCAGAGGAACGGATGTAAGTATAACGGACACATGTCCCAGGATCTCAAGTCGTCAGAGGAACGGATGTACGTATAACGGACACATGTCCCAGGATCTCAAGTCGTCAGAGGAACGGATGTAAGTATAACGGACACATGTCCCAGGATCTCAAGTCGTCAGAACAACGGATATAGTATAACGGACACCTGTCCCAGGATCTCAAGTCGTCAGAGGAACGGATGTAAGTATAACGGACACATGTCCCAGGATCTCAAGTCGTCAGAGGAACGGATGTAAGTATAACGGACACCTGTCCCAGGATCTTAAGTCGTCAGAGGAACGGATGTAAGTATAACGGACGTCTGTCCCAGGATCTCAAGTCGTCAGAGGAACGGATGTAAGTATAACGGACACCTGTCCCAGGATCTCAAGTCGTCAGAGGAACGGATGTAAGTATAACGGACACCTGTCCCAGGATCTCAAGTCGTCAGAGGAACGGATGTAAGTATAACGGACACATGTCCCAGGATCTCAAGTCGTCAGAGGAACCGGGATTCCGTATAGATGTCGTCAGTTCTTAATACAATAACAACATAAACGTCATTGTAGTTTCTTGGAGCTGTTTTACTGAAGCCTTTTCCTGTGGTGTGTTACTAGAGAGATTTACTGAAGTGTTTTACTGAAGTGTTTTACTGAAGTATTTTACTGGGGAGTTTTACTGAAGTCCTTTACTAGAGTGTTTTATTGAACTACTTTACTAGAGTGTTTTACTGAAGTATTTTACTAGAGTGTTTTACTGAAGTCCTTTACTGGAGGGGGCGATGGGGTACCCTAGTGGTTAAGGGTTCGCTCGTCACGCAATTCCCAACATGGGTACAATGTGTGAAGCTCATTTCTGGTGTCCCCATGATATTGCTGGAATATTGCTAAAAGTGGCGTAAAACCACTCATTCACTCCTTTACTAGAGCGTTTTACTGAACTCCTTTACTGGAGTGTTTTCTGAACTCCTTTACTGGAGTGTTTTCTGAACTCCTTTACGACCAGCTTGACCGTCACTTGGGGCTTTCCTTTGAAGCTCTGGGCCAACGTCCTAAACAGCCACGTGACGACGTGACATACGTCACCTTTAACAGGGACGCTGAACCAAGCCCCACTCTCTCCTGTGATGTATTCTGAGTAGAATGTACACCATGTATAACACCCTTGTTTCTCTTCCAGTGCCTGTATCGTCATATCGCTCCTGTTTCTGGTAGCAGCCACTTGTCTGATCGGCAAATCTGCCAACGCTCTTGCCATGGAGGTGAAGGAGGCTAGCAGCGACATCCTGTACGGCTTGGCGATCTGTAACGCCCTCGTCTCTCTCGGACTCGCCATCACCAAGGTCATCCTGGGATACAAGCTGGAAAGCAAGGCTTTAATTACCGACAGTAAGGAACTCGTACTAATTAGAATTAGGACCGATTACACAGACGTGCTCATGAAGTCAGTCACAAATGACGACTGGACCGCCTCCGTGGTGTAGTGTTTACAGCGTGCACCCGGAGAGCGGAAGATCGCTGTTTCGATCCCCGGTCGCGTCATACCAAAGGACGTTAAAATATGGTACTTGTTGGCCCCTGCCTGGCGCTCGGCACTATGGGTCAACAAAGACTGGTCGGCTCAAACTCCGTGTACTGTGTATGAGTTGGGTAACCATGGTAACCACGGTAGATTTAGGTACCTACTCCCCCCTGGGTCAGCACTTAGAAGCGGCATTTGTCTGAACTATTTCACGCACGCACGGGCCCGTGAAGGTTAGAATATTGGCCTTCAGTAACCCATGCTTGTCGTAAGAGGCGACCGGGTGGTCATGCTTGCTGACTTGGTTAACACATGTCATCGGTTCCCAATTGCGTAGATTGATGCTCATGCTGTTGATTGCTGGATTGTCTGGTCCAGACTCGATTATTTACAGACCGCTGCCATATAGCTGGAATATTGCTGATTGCGGCGTAAAACTCAACTCACTCACTCACTCACGCACGCACGCATCTACACACGCACACGCGCACTATAGTAATTCCTATATCCCCCGAAATAAAGTGGTCCGTGATATTTGTTCATGTCACTTCAATACTGAACACCTTTGAGATGTATGTTGACATTGACAATTGTATACAGGTGTGATAACGTTCACTGGCGCTGCTGTGAGTTTCGGCACCATATGTAGCCTATTGGCAACGGAGAACACCGACAAATACTGGTACCTGGATCCTGTGGTGGGAGTGCTGTGCGGAGCTTTCCTGTTGGCTTGGGGAATCAAGTAAGTATAAAACTATGGTCATATCTTCATGTGGGGGTGTGGGGGATGGGGGGAATGTTATGGATTGTTATGGATACAACATATGGTATGTTTTCATTTATTGTTTTTTCACATTTAGAATTTGGAAGAACATGATCAAATTTAGCGTCATGTCCGACGTCGACATCCACTTGATTCTAACATGCAGTTTATGACAAACAAATATCAGCATTTTAGCATTCAAATAAATTTATCAAAAATTAACAGCCGATCAAATATTAAATAACATTTATGATCGAATTACAGTTTTTGTTAGTTGTTTGGTCATTTGCCTGCAGGAAAGGGCACACTATTTCTTACCCTAAAATGCTATACGGAGTATGTAATTATAGTCCTTAAAACAATAGCTTGATGATGGGTTTAGTTCAAGAAACAGAAATAGTTAAATGTTCACATTCTCTGTAATCTTAGATTGATTGACATTCACTTTATTACTCAAAGGAACCACCAACAGTGGTACAAGAGTTACATAAGAGTTATATAGAAATTACCACAAGATGGCATACACAACATTCAGAAATCTTGACAGTTTTTTCAGGACATGTATCTTATTATTCCCAACAAGTTGCTTATATTTTGACATGTTAGGCCATTTATAAAAATAATCACTGATAAGGGAAGAACGTTCATTCGCCAGTGCTTTACATCTAAATAAATAATGGAACTCGTCGCCAGTTTGTGGGTGAAATAATAATAAATAAGCGAGTGGTTTGCTGTGATAACTACCTCGAGGGAACCGCTATCGAAGCGAATCACGAGCTTAAGGTTGTTAATTCGCATATACCACAAGGTCAAAAACATTCTTATTCTAGTTGAAATATTATTAACTGCACTGTGCAGATATTATAATAAAATAAAAAATGAATGGTTTTGTATTTATTTATTGAAGATATTTCCAATATAAACATTGAGGTAGAGGCATCGGCTTGTCAACCCGGATCTGCCAAGAGAAAAGTTCTTCTCGAGGTGCGATACCGGGAATAAGGTGAGGCGAAGCCGAGCCTTGTTCCCGGTATCGCACCGAGAGTTGGTCAGATAACAAACACGCACACGTACAGGTGCAACTCAGCACAGCCGGGTAGGATGACCCCAGCTGGTCAGGCGCTATTCCATCAGCCGTTTGTCATCCCCCGGTGTGAAGCGTGAAAATAGCACAGAATTACATGATGGTTTCTTACTAAACAACTTTTTCCGTGATCGATGAAAAAACGTCCGATTTCAGATCCTGTTGGGTACAGAGGTTTCAAGACCATGTCTTACTATGTTTTGTGCACTTATCCCAATTTCTAGTTATTTAATCATTTGTCGTTCTCATTTGAACCCAATCGGACTATAAGTGTACGATATACGTTCCTGCACCAGAATCTCGTGCAAGTCGAGCTCTAAACAATCACGTGCAATGAAAACCACGTGATTTAAACTGCCATTACAGCAAATGAATTGCGACAAGGAGATGCTCTTGACTCTGTTCCAGGCCGGAGTGGATTTTGAAGCAAACTGGTCATCTGGTAAGTATCGTGCCCTGCATAGCATTTGTCTATATCTGTATTTGCTGGAATCGTTTGAACTCCGATTTCGCGCGGTTTTTTTCATTGCGTTATTTTTCAACTTTATAAGTTGAATTTGCAATTTTGATGATTTGTTTCGTTAGGTCCATACCGAAAGGTATCAGAATCTGCAAAGTTGTGTTTTACGTTGCATGTGACCTTTAAGCAAGTTAAATTCACAGATAATGAAGTAATCTAAATTAAAGTGAATTGCTTGAAATGTATTGATGTGTCTTATGTGTAGATGACTACCTCGTACCACTGTCCTACTCTTCTGATTAACGCTAAGGGACCCATCATAATTTGGGTGTGGGTGTGGGTGTTATGGGGATGCATGTAAAATGTGAATGCTCCCCCCTAAACTATATGGGAAAGATTTCCTCCCGTAACCCCCGTATTCTTTTTTAATCATCCTATGCCTAAGAATATAGTCCTATGGGTTTTTATGATAAGAAACCTTACCCTAAACCCTTATCCTAATCCTAAACCCTACCCCGTCGAAATAAACACTAATATAATACATTTCAAGCGTGGGTTACGGGTTAAAAAGATAACACTTTATATATAAAGTGGCCCCTCACCACTTCCCCACCCCCAACCCCGCCTGCTTGTCATGTACAAATTTGCTGACCACGCCCACCCATCCCAACCCGTAGTGCATGTGTACAAAAATGATGACACACAAACACACACGAAAACCTCCCCAGAACAAAACGGGTGACACGCCCTCCCCTAAATCCCCTTGTATTGGTATTTGAGATTTTCATGAACAATATGCTTGATACTGATAATGTAATTTGTTGATAAATGTCATGTTCACGACCGAGGAATGTATCATCAAATTAATCATTGTTGTAACTCAAATTATTCATTACAAAACTATCTATGAGGATCCTGTCTAAACATCTATTTAATTTTTCAGATGATTCAAGTGACCCTGAGGAGAATGGAAAAGGGGGAAGGAGGTCCCGCAGGTTCCAATTTATTAACTGCAGTGAGCAGATATTGTAAAAAAATAAATCATTTTGATTGGTTCTGTATTTGTTTATTTATTGAAGATGTTTCCAACAAAAACATTGAGGTAGAGTCATAGGGTTATCAGACCCGATCTGCCAAGGGAAAAGATCTTCTCGAGGTGCGATACCGGGAATAAGGTGAGGCGAAGCCGAGCCTTGTTCCCGGTATCGCACCGAGAGTTGGTCAGATAACCGCCCTAGGGGGGTATGTTGTCAGATAACCGCCCTAGGGGGGTATGTTGTCAGATAACCGCCCTAGGGGGTTATATGGTAACCAACCTCTGGGGAAGGTTGGTTATCTGATAACCAACCCCTTGAGAGGTCGTTCACAAAAATTAATAACCCCAGATATTGACCCGATAATCAACCCACGTGGTATATTGAGAATTACACTTTACAAAATCTTGCTGTTCAGTTCTTCAGGTGCTAAAGTTTAGGGGTTTAACAAAGGTGTGTCGTGCGTTCGGACTACATATGGCAGGGTAATGGAGCATAGTAGCTTTTAGGATAGGAATTCTCTCTGCAGAAAGTTAAATAATTTCTTTTTAATTTGATATAATAAGTTTTTGTGTCTGTCTGAAATGCTAAACTATCATAGACTTGCATATTGTCATATGTTTACCCTTGTTGCAGGGTGTGTGTGAAAGACTAGTCATGTCTGATCTACCATTCAGGTAGTATTTCAAAGATAGGACGTGTTCAGGTGAACGCGAATCATTCAGAAGGGCTCTGTATTTATGTGTCGCTTACGTCCACAGGTTGCTGGTTGAGATGGCGTGTTGCTGCAGGGGAGCTGCTGAGGAGTCTTGACGTGCACTCGGAAATATCTTCTAGGACAGTGTTTATCTCTGATATTTAAATATATACACGTCTCAACAGAAGACATGTACTATCAGCACAAATCGGTGGAAAAGTCAAGATATTCAATTCCACACTGTGTGGACGTGGATTGGATGGATTGTGTGTTTTGTGAACACATGTTATGTTTATGGCAGATATATAGCCCACGAGTGAAATAATACTGCATATCAGGAAGATGCAAGTCTTGTCCGCACCAATGGCAGTGTTCAGAGCCGACAGGGATTAGGGTCATAATAGGCAGAGAAGATGACCTTCATTGTCAAACAACATGTTTTTACTATCTGTGCCTTTGTCATCTCACTGTTAGATAAGCCATGATATGTGATAAGTCAGACATCCACGGTATAGTCTCCCCCGACCCCTGTTTCCTGAAAATGGGAACCAATTCCTTTTGAGATGTGGTCCAGATTCACAAGTAATGCCATAAAAATAAAAAATATTACGACCCAAATATTAAGAATATTCGGGGTATTGGGGTGTTGATGCTCGCCTGCATCCTCGTCTGTGACAGTGTTTGCCCTTAACCCTGAAAAGCTGCAGGCCCTAAGGACCCAGAACCATAAAACGTTGTAGGTCCTGATCAGAATGTGTAGGCCCTAAACTTTAATATGGAAGTAATACTCTTAGTTATCGGGGATGAAGAAACTGTGGGACCTACAGAAAACAAAAGCTGTGGGTCCGAGTGGTTTTAAGTCGGCTTCGGGCCTAAGGACCGACGTTAATTTCAAACGCTGGTCTGTGATTTAATTGATAGTGAGATCAGGATCCGCAACCATTTTCCTAACGTGTCATTCTGCCCCAATGGCATGGGCGGTTGCTCATTATATCGATCACTGGATTGTCTGGTTCAGACTCGAATATTTACAGACTGTCGTCATATAGCTGGAATATTGCTGATGGCGGCGTTAAACAACAATGAAAAGTTGGGAGGGAATCTAGGACACTGACACCTGTCGTGAGCAGTGAGCCCTGTGATTGAGCCTGGTGTTATCCCGGGAACATCCGAGTTGCCGTAAGAGTCTTCAGCAACGCATGTCATACAGGGCGACTGACGAGACTGGAGGGTCAGAATCCTAGATTGATGTTCCGAATGGCAATCACTGGATTGTCGGATCCGGTTGTTTACAGACTGCCGTCATATAGCTGAAATATTGCTGACATTAAACGACAACCAATCAATACATGTTGGTGTTGGTATTGGACTGCTTGTTGACGGATGGTTGAATTAGCGTTAAATATAATTCACCTGCTCACTCACATATGGAATCGTTTTTCTTTGTATGTGATTCAATATAAAATTTTGAAAAGGAACAAACAAACATTATTTCGACGCAGGAATATCAGGACAGTCCGTGGCGACAGCTGCATTATTAGAAATGAAGTACATCTATGGAATTAAATATACAAAAGAATTTACGTATCCTAGGTATTGGCTGCCATAGGAAGTGATGGTCTGGTCATATTAATAAAACAGCACTTGCAATATTGGCGTGCTGTTTGTCTGTGGAATGAACCGTGACCAACTGATGTATTTACAAGGCTGAATAATAGTGTGTGATGTAAAACTGTATGGACGTTGAATTGTTTGTATTATATTGATACATTGTCACTGTTACCATTGTTGTAGTAATGTATACCATTGTTTAATCAAGAGATATTATCGAAGATCAATTCAATAAATATGATACATATATGATAACTAATGTTTCTCTATTCATTAATCCTAAGTGTGTGTTTTATTGCATGTACAGCTGTGTCGAGAGTGTGGTGGTCGGGGCTGAGGCAGGATTGTCGGGGCTGAGGCAGGGTTGTCACCTGTGTCTATCTGTATCAACGTTATGTGGTCAAATGTGTTGTAGACCCAAAAATTAAACCTATGTTAATGTCGGCATACTTCCATCTGACTCTGTACGAGGTCTTCAATTACCTTGGCGTGTTGTAGATGCAATTTGTATCGATTATTAAGGCGACAGCAGGAAAGGGGTCCTAGTCGTTAATGTGATGTGTAGAGGGAGCCATAATCATGGAGGATCTACACTTGGCTGCGTTTGTGAGAACTGTACCCGTGCTGGGGGGTTTCACCATGGTGCTCACTTCTCTCAATGACACGCCATATTATATAGTTACTATCAAACTGTATATAAATATTTATACTATTAAATGTCTTACCAAGTGTTACCTTGTTTCTTGCTACAGACTATACCTTAATCCCCTTTGTTAACTAATTGGTCATGGCCTGATGGACTCAGATTCTAAACAATAGATGTGGGGAATGTGAGGTGTCCCCGTGAGAACTCTACCTGTCCAGGTGTGAGGTGGGTGGGTGGTGGGGGATTTCATTATAGCGATGCGGAAGATCTCTTTTCACCTCATCACACATGATATAGCTATATTTTCTAATCGGTTAAGCCGAACTTGGATAATCGGGAATTTCTTTGTTATTACGAAATGAAGACGAGACAAGAACTAAATGTCACCACACAATAACAACAGGGACACGAGTAGTATTTAATTTGTGTGTTATATTGACTGTACTAATCAGTTTTAGTTAGAATACTTTTGAAAGTAGTTGTTGTTATTTGCGTTTTTTAACGTCGCAGGTACAACTAAGGTATTTCGGCAACGGGGTAGTACACTTAGCTTATTAAGAAATGAGGGGAAACAAAAAATTTGAAAGAGTGATGTTACTACCGCAAAGACAACCAACCAACCAACCCCCCCCCAAAAAAAAAATAAATAAAAAAACCAACAAAAAAGAAACTGAGTATTAAGGGAAATTTGAATGGGGGGCCGAATTAAAAAGGTAAAAAATATGAAATAGGTAAAGGGTATTAGAGAAAGTACTTTTCCCATAACTGATGCAGGTTGTCGCGTTGCTTCTAAACACAGATTTATGATATTAGTCAAGTAAATCCGTTTTGTGTTGATATAATTTACGTGATATACAAAAACATGTAAATACTTCAATCCTATTTGTGTTGCTATCATTTACGTTATATACAAAAACATGTAAATACTTCAATCCGTCTTGTGTTGCTATCATTTACGCGATATACAAAAACATGTAAATACTTCAATCCGTTTTGTGTTGCTATCATTTACGCGATATACAAAAACATGTAAATACTTCAATCCGTTACGCGATACACAAAAACATGTAAATACTTTAATCCTATTTGTGTTGCTATGATTTACATGATATACAAAAACATGTAAATGCCTCATTTGGCTTTTGCTGTGCAAGGATTGTTAGATAACCTGGTTCGAATCCTATACTGGCCGCGACAACGATCCATGGTTTGCCCACACCATAAGGATGTCGGGCCTTCCTTCACTGCAGTCGTCCACATTATACCAACGGACAGGCGTCAGACCCATCTCCCTCACGCCTGTGCCGGGGAGGTGAGTTAGCCTAGAGGTAAAAGCGTTAGCACGTTATTCCGAAGGACCAGGTTCGATTTCCTATATGGGTACAAAGTGTAAAGCGCAATTTTGCTCTACCTTGCCTTATATTATTGGAAATATTTCTAAATGTGTCGTAAAACCATATTAAACCGCTCTATGTGACTGTCTGCGGCTGGAGGTTTAGAAACGTGGATCGTCGATCTGTCCAGATTATAGAAAACATAACAGAACTAGGGTAGGGTAAATCCTATGACAATAAATAGTTTTATACATTCACTAAAGGAGGTCATAAATCACGTGTACATGCAGTATATTAACCGATGACTCCCAGCGTACACACATATATAAACGTCACATAGGGTCGGGACATTGAAGTGGTCCGAAACTTCAGATCTAGTAATTGGCGTTCTTCAAAAAAATTATAATACAAACATTATGTGCTTTCATAGTGTCCAAGATACGTGTTACTTGCTGTTCATTGTCACTCAAAGACGAGAGAATTTCACTTTATCTGTCAATTCCACGAAACTGCTTCCTTACTGATTACTGATTGCTGATTACTGATTACGCAGGAATACCAAGCTGGTCATTGAAGTGGTCTGAAGCTTCGGGCTACCACTGTAAGGCAGATGAAAGGAGATACCTCGTTGATGTGAAAATGTCGCTATATACGTGGAACAGATATTCACAACACTTGGCTCAGAAGTCATAGTTCTCGGGCAACAATCAAAGGTCTCGTGTCTAACGTTGCGTCAGAGATTATGTGCCCAACTGTAAACCTGAAATAACCGGATTTCGATAAACTGCCCGACAATATCAACAAGGATTCGTCGATTTCAACCCGTGGAGTTCTACACGCTTGTTTGTGCTCCATAACAACTTGATATGTATTCTTTAAATTCATTCTTCTTTAACTTCACAGTCAATCTGAATTGAACATACCCACACAGATCCGCCATGACGATTTCTGGCAGTTCGTGTCCTTATATGGACAACGTTCGAGTCACGTGTTTGTCAAGTGACCAGTGATCATAAAGGTCGTTCTCGTCTTCTCACAACATGGACTAGCTGAACAATACACAGACAAAACACGATCTGGTCAGTGGCCATGTTGTTTATCACCAGCAGCCCGCAGAGAGCGGCTGAACTCGATCACGTGACAATCCTTTCACAACCTTTGAACCGTGATACGAGGTAAATGCAGTAGTGTTCCGACAACGTGCTGAGTCACGTGATCTTGAAATTGTTTCTGCTCAAAAGCATTACAAAGTGTCAAAGAGGTAGTCACGTCACATGTCCCGGCATGCAGTGCTAGACGCCGAAGAGAATCCCAGTAAAGTCTGATCCGTTCTGTATCCTAACAACGATACCGGAAGAGTTATCCATATACACCGATGCGTACTGCCCAGCCTGAAACGAAAACGAGGCCGGAAGTTGAAACAAGTTAAAACGCCACAGAAATATACGAGGAAAGTTAATTTAAAAAAGTACTGATAGGAACAAATAAATGACACTATATGTGCTATTTGGCTTCCGACATACATAAAGTGCTATGACCTTGACCTATATTTTCTAATGACATGACAGACCTTTAACTCCAACAATCCACTGACGCTGGTTGTAAAGAGCTTGCTGTTGGTCTCGAGACCCGTCACGTACTCCAGGGACCTGAAATCAGTCAGCAGCAACAGTAATAACATCGTGAGCACAACTGCAACACCGCCAACACATATGGTTCCTTACAAAGTAAACATTCAGCTGATAGAAGTTTCGCGTTCTACAGTCGGATGATGTTTTTTCTTGTTCCAGCTTAATGATTTCAGCAAAATATTTCAGCTGAATCAGTCTGGCACACCGTGAATCAATACTGTACAATGTGGCGTTAGTGAACATTTGACTGCTGCTCACCCATCCACGTTAGTGACATGGTGCAGACTCGCCTTCATGAATGTCAACTCTGAGTTTGTCATGACAAGGGTTCTCTTAATGATTTTAAAGACGCTTCCTTTAGCCAACTAACCTCTACTCTAACATACCAGTTCATATGGAATAATATTACCCAGACTTCCTAAAAGCGACATAATGAATGTTCATGATGCTCTAGCATGTTAGATTTTCTCTCATATAGATTTCCAAAGCCTGTTTGCTAAGTAGTGGATGAGTTAGTATAGTGTCACGCCACTATTGATGACACTGCAGCAATACCCCGACAGCCCTGTGGATTTCAAACACTGTGACAATAACAAAATGTAGGATGAATTTCAGTTGATTCTACTGACGTGTTTTTCTGGCATAGAGAGTCTATGCACACTTGGATCTTGATGTTGTCTCTTTTCCTCAAACGTTTGCTGCCTCGACCTTTCTTCTTAATTTGAATATGCAAATTAGCAGCAAAGTGATAGACCCCATCACGTGGTGCAACAAAACGGCCGTCCCGGGCGTTGAAGACGTCCCCTCGATGGAAAGCTCCCCCACCAAATGGCTGAAAGTATACGGTTAAATGAACTAAGAGACATAAATCATATTGACTAGGTATCGCTATAAAAATACATTTGGGAATCTGCTTTCTAAAGTCATTCTTTCACACACAACATGTATAGTGTTGGGAACCTCAGGTGCTGCACGAGGTCATGCTCCGTTCTGGAGGAAACTGACATGCGCCTGGCAACCTGTTGAGGCACTGAGAGTGGACAAATGTATTTGGACAAAATGGCCTCCGTGTATGGCGTAATTTACAAGTGCCGTATTTCAGGGGGTAGTGTTATCTAATGGGGCATTACTTTAGGTTTCACCGGATATCTGTGAAAAGGATGTTTTTTTTTATGTGCTTCCGGTTGTGCTATAATTAGCTCGCGAGTAAACAGCTGATCGAAATAGGTTGTGAAAGATGCTATCGTGTATTTATTTGAAAGTGGTTTGAAACAATCTGAGGACGTCAGAAGACTGAATATATAAAAATCTCTTGTTTGTAATGAGTGGAAGCGATATTTGCAAGGCTGAAATACCAAAATGGCCGGGCGTCATTGCTGAACTTACGTGAAAACAGGAGACTGATTGGCAGTGTGGTGAGAAAGAAGATGCAGTGTATGTGATGTCACTAACATAATAAATAAAAATGAGTTCCAGAACTGTCATTTTCTAGTTAACCTAGAGGGTTATTCTCGACAAGTTGTGAAGAAGAAAATGGTTCTTTGAGATTAATCTGGAAGAACGTGTCCATGGTGCTTTCCAAACAACACTGGAGAAAAGGCCCATGTTTTCTGATGAAAGTCAATTTGTCGTCAGTAACGACAACAGACGTTTCGTATGGCTGAAGAAAGATGAAGGCATATAAACTAACATATATAACGTCATTTTGTATTTAGCAACACATTGATCGAAACAATACGACGGCAGCCATTTTGTCCCAATATTTTTGTCCAGTGTCGGTAAACGTTGGAATAAATTTGTGCCACTTTTCTACAGGCTTTACATATGGTGCCCACACGGAGACGAGATAACATTTAGGGTGACGAGCAAACACTTTAAACACTGGGCTACCCCAGTGAGATGCAATCATTTGGGTATCCCTGTGTTCTGATCGGTATCTAACACCCTCTGCCGTCATGTCGCCACACCAGAGCAGTAATCTGGTTGTAAATACCGCTGTTATAAACTCACTGGACTTGGTAAAGTTTGTTGCATGGCAGAAACAAGTTCATGTGAAGTATAGCGTCACATGTCGCAACACGTGGTTATGAACACACGAAATCGAGAGATTGAAAAGTTTTGAGACTGGGGTAACAATGAGGTTCGACCCACAATGCAGAAAACAAAATCAGAAAAAAAGACAAGCCATTATCAAAATCAGAACATTTATTAAAGAACTGTCATTACCGAGGTGACATTAACATTCGAGCCTGGATCGGATCCTGGCACAACCAAGGGACACTACTCTCAACACCAAGTGGTGACTGTTTAGACCACTGGGCTTCCTGCATATTCGTTGACGAAGTTGACGTTGAAGTTGATTATTCTAAGTGCAAATTACGATGCCAATGGCCAGAAAGAATTAGGTTTGCCTCATCTTCTCACATTTCAAATCGTCCGATAGACATTGGTTATTTGCCATGTTTTACCAAACGCCTACGGAGAATGAATGGCTACATCATTATCAATGAAGAAAACCTGTCCATATAGTAAAACACGTCTCCGATTAACTTAAACTTGACGAACGCGGTATTTGCACTTTTTTTTAGCAGTTTTGAGACGTACACTAAAAGCTTTAAAAAAACACTGAAAGAAGACTTTTCATAAATTACCCAACCATTAGTGTAAGTTTCGCTGTATGTCATTAGCGGTTTTCAATTTCAATCCCGTGACGAGTTATCTCCCACAGCACGTGCAAACCAGGAAGCTTTCATTAAAGGTAAATGTCCGCCATAAAGCAGGTGTTTCCTCATCACAGACAGGGAGGGGCAGCCACGCTGGGTTAAGGAGGGTTTTAAATGCCGTAAATTGAAACCAGTGGTTGGTAAAGCGCACCTCGATAATGACGGGCTTCTTGCGGTTAACGCGAAGCTCGTGTGTGCTCGAAAATAGAACAGTGACCGAGGATAAAGCTTGCACTACATGTTTGTATACAATCTAAACATGCTAAACAAATATTAGCTCACATGTAATATGTGAGTCTTAGTTCAACAGTATTACGTCAGCTCTTAACCTTGTCGAATCGTACTCTCTAGTCAGGAGATGTAAGATACATATAGTAGTTGGGCGCCGACCGGTACTCGAGAACCCGGCAACGAGTTGGGTACGACAGGACTCGAGTACCCGACAAAGGGAGATAACTTTAAACTAAACGTGACCACGTGTGCAGTCATGGATGAAGAAAGGTCGGACGTATGGGCCCATTTTGATCTTGATACTTCAAAACACAAATCCAAATTGATGTCGATTGTTAAAAGAATTGGATTATGGCGTTAGTTTGATTATTTCATTTTTAATACAATGTTTTCTCTTATAATTGTCATCACTTTATTGATTTTCTAGTTTTCAAATTATTTGCGTTAATCAACACGTACAACTGTGCTAATGTTGTTACCTGCTGATGTGGAAATTCACTTTGTTACAATGCGCAATCCTTTAAACAAATTCACATTTGATATTGGTTAAACGAAATGTGGCCCACCTTATCCGTACATGGATGTATTTAGAAATAGCCAACGTTCTCGACCTGCGCTCTTCTGACTGAGCTCTGCCGCACTCGTAATTGAACACGTGTCATTCATTACCACTGGTCCCTGGCACTAATTATGCACAACTACACATCATATGGTTGGAACACAGACTAACGCTTAGTCTCTGAATATATATAATGTTGATAGTAACAAATAAGCATTGCATTTAGCATTGCAGGGAGGGCTCTGCAGTAGGGGAAAAAATGTGGTTCAGGGACTGTGAGACAGAGTAGGCTGGAACACCGATTAACGTGGCGTTGTATACACGCATGATAGTGTCACAATTGTACAATCGACTCTGCCTTTAGCAGAGATTTCTTCTAGATGTGGAAAGGGTTTTGTCGCTTCCATTTAAGTTACAATTTATATTCAGTGAAGAATCCTGCCAAGCAGTTAAAGGAAGCGTCCTTACAATCGTACAGCATCACCGAATCATGAGACGTTAAACGGCCATTACATCTGACGAGGAGAAGTCACCCTATCACCTCGAGCTCGTTGTACGTTTCCACCTTGATCGATGCCAACGATAATTATTTTCACCAAACAAGTAAACAAAGAGAGTCTTTGGAAGGTTGACCAAGGTCAGAGACACAGGCATATGGAAGAAATGCATGCTAGAACCCCAAGTTGCAGTTGATAAGTTACAGTCTTGAAGTCTTAAAGATCACATATACTCTAGGGGGTACACACTACACTAATAAATCCTTCTCCAATGTCAAACATACTCCCTACACTAATCAGTCCTTCACCCATGTCAAACATACTCCCTACACTAATCAATCCTTCACCCATGTCAAACATACTCTCTACACTAATCAGTCCTTCACCCATGTCAAACATACTCTCTACACTTATCAGTCCTTCTCCCATGTCAAACATACTCGCTACACTAATCAATCCTTCACCCATGTCAAACATACTCTCTACACTAATCAGTCCTTCACCCATGTCAAACATACTCTCTACACTTATCAGTCCTTCTCCCATGTCAAACATACTCGCTACACTAATCAATCCTTCACCCATGTCAAACATACTCTCTACACTAATCAGTCCTTCACCCATGTCAAACATACTCTCTACACTAATCAGTCCTTCACCCATGTCAAACATACTCTCTACACTAATCAGTCCTTCACCCATGTCAAACATACTCTCTACACTAATCAGTCCTTCGCCCATGTCAAACATACTCCCTACACTAATCAGTCCTTCGCCCATGTCAAACATACTCCCTACACTAATCAATCCTTCACCCATGTCAAACATACTCTCTACACTAATCACCTTCACCCATAATACTCTCTACACTAATCAGTCCTTCACCCATGTCAAACATACTCTCTACACTAATCAGTCCTTCTCCCATGTCAAACATACTCCCTACACTAATCAGTCCTTCACCCATGTCAAACATACTCTCTACACTAATCAGTCCTTCTCCCATGTCAAACATACTCTCTACACTAATCAATCCTTCACCCATGTCAAACATACTCCCTACACTAATCAGTCCTTCACCCATGTCAAACATACTCCCTACACTAATCAATCCTTCACCCATGTCAAACATACTCCCTACACTAATCAATCCTTCACCCATGTCAAACATACTCTCTACACTAATCAGTCCTTCACCCATGTCAAACATACTCTCTACACTAATCAGTCCTTCTCCCATGTCAAACATACTCTCTACACTAATCAGTCCTTCTCCCATGTCAAACATACTCTCTACACTAATCAGTCCTTCACCCATGTCAAACATACTCCCTACACTAATCAGTCCTTCACCCATGTCAAACATACTCCCTACACTAATCGGTCCTTCATCCATGTCAAACATACTCCCTACACTAATCGGTCCTTCACCCTCCCAAACATACTCCCTACACTAATCAGTCCTTCACCCTCCCAAGCATACCGACTACATATATCCAGTGCAATCACGTTCACAAACCTACCTATCATTAACTCACTACTCCGTCAACAATTTCTTGTTCTGGTTTCCGACACTCAGTTGAAGCACCTTATTCATTCATTCACATGTTCAATGATTCGATAGTTGACTTAGAAATGCACCCAATTACACGTCCTAAAAGGCCATAGATTGCAAGATGATGCTAACATTATTATTTAGTCCTTCTCCAAACCAGCGATTTCTTTATTTTCTATATTAGATTTGTTTATGTATCATATCAACATTTCGAAGGCCACCATTGGTATCAAGTTGAAAAGGACAGCCTGGATACAAGCATAATTCTATCAAACTCCCCAATCCTTGGCTCTTATCACCCCCATGTTTGAATTACCAGTGTTTTATTGGGCCCTCCACGTCCGACAGTACTCGATGCTGTTACATGTTCAAGGGGTGTGTGTGGAGAGGCTACTGTTGGCTGTTTTATAAGCCCTCAGTGTTACCCATGTATCAAGTATCTAGCGCAGTTGGTCTGTTACAGTGGAGAAAAGGAAACTGCTTAGCTTCAGTATTGCTACTTTAACTCAGACCTCAGTGAAATGGTTAGCGCTTATGAAAGCACACATCACCAATAACTCTGCTTGTCGATCCAATCCTGCTGCGTTCCCAGAGTTCCGGGTCAACAGTTTGGCACAACCGTTGTGCGTCACGTGCTACCGATCCTGAGCGGAAGTAGCTGTAGACGCACGCAGATCGTGGACAAGCAGATTGGACTGGATTTTATAGACACTTAAGGTTGTAAATCTTCGTCAGTTTGCAATTCGTGTCACAGAGGCGAGATGTTCCGATTAACACTATGGCAATTCGACCGCACTCACATGCTTTACAAATACACAGCAAGCGTGGCGATGCCAAAACAGTCGACTTTTTCAACGATTGTTCTAGTTTTGCAAATAAGTATGGCGCCTCTAACTTAATTTCTGAAAGTTTTCTACTTCGCGTCAGAACTATATTTATCAACAAGTACAAACACTTTATCCAGTGCACGGAACACACGGACAGAGTGTACCCTCAGCGACATAAACCTATGTACTCAAACCGTTGTTCCTTTATTTTCTTTTAATACGAACAGTGAATTTGAACCAAGATCACCGACGTTGATCACGTGTGGTGCAAGCAGATCTGCTGCTGCCAGAGACGCAGGTGCCTCGGGGGAACCATGGAAATCTCGGGGTATAAATACAAACGAATGACAAGGAACAAAGCGTTAGTGGGTCTTATCGAATAACCCGTATTTCTTTGGATTTATTGATCATGATCTATATGACATGCGCTTGTTCCTGCATAACTACAGGTCGTGAGAATTGACTAGTAGATCTGTGTGATTGGACTAGTAGGTTCATGCGATTGGACTAGTAGATCTGTGTGACTGGTAGGGCTGCGCAATATAACCGGTTTACCGGTATTTACCGGTTCACACATGAAAACGATACGTATTGCGATACGCTGATCGAAAACCGGTATTTTGACATACATTCGGAAAACTTCGTAACACTCGGAAATCTTGATGATTGTGGAAATTGTGGTAAGGGTGGTGGGAATGATCGTAACATACATTTAACTGGATTGTTAAGTTCTTTTCCTTGTTTCATTTGTGCCAAATATTATTTACATTTTTACTTTGTCATCATAAAATGTTTTTATTAAGGTGAATCAAGCATAGTGATTTTGTTGTGGTTTTGCTTTATAAACCAAACATTAACTCGATTATAAGTAGTTTTTCGTTAATAAAAACATCTTGCAATATATTGCAATACATGCTTTTGCATCGCAATATATCGCAATATGAAAATTCTCTGCAATACCCACCCCTAGTGACTGGACTAGCAGGGCCCCGTTTCACAAAGGTATCGTAGCGCTACGACAGTCGTAAGTCTATGTTACAGTATAGGAGTTACGACAGTCGTAAGTCTATGTTACAGTATAGGAGGTACGGCAGTCGTAAGTCTATGTTACAGTATAGGAGGTACGACAGTCGTAAGTCTATGTTACAGTATAGGAGGTACGACTGTCGTAAGTCTATGTTACAGTATAGGAGGTACGGCAGTCGTAAGTCTATGTTACAGTATAGGAGGTACGGCAGTCGTAAGTCTATGTTACAGTATAGGAGGTACGACAGTCGTAAGTCTATGTTACAGTATAGGAGGTACGACAGTCGTAAGTCTATGTTACAGTCGTATAGGAGGTACGGCAGTCGTAAGTCTATGTTACAGTATAGGAGGTACGACAGTCGTAAGTCTATGTTACAGTATAGGAGGTACGGCAGTCGTAAGTCTATGTTACAGTATGTCGTAAGTCAATGTTACAGTATAGGAGGTACGACTGTCGTAAGTCTATGTTACAGTATAGGAGGTACGACAGTCGTAGCGCTACGATAGCTTTGTGAAACGGGGACCTGGTCGATATGATTGGAATATTAGGTCCATGTGATAAGAAGCCGCAGTCCTTTGGGTTAGGTTCAAGTACCGCCATAGAACTGTAACACTGAACATTGACTTCAAACATTTCCTTCATCTTGGGAATGAAAACCGGGGTCTGCGAGTGAGCATGACATATCTCCAATGTCTGCTTGTCATGCGATTGTTTTCTTGTTTTCACAAAACATAACAAGAAAGGGGCTGCACATGCCCGGAATCAAACCCAGATCTTGACGAGCGAGCACCTGTACCACCTGGCTACCACACCTCTACCTCACACTCATGGTCCATAAAAAGTTAGGCTTCGACATATTTTCTTGAATCGAAATAAGAAAAAGTCACCTGATGGAAATTTTTCAGCTCCATAAAAGTCCTCCGAGCAACAATGATGTTACTACGCAGGCGCATGTGGAATGCTACCGTGACCCGTGGTACGAGCAGCACCTCATCCACTTCCGTTGGTAATACGTAACTTCCGTTCAGGAGGGAACTGCAGGCTTCGCACTGCAACAAACATGTAGTGGATTCACAGAACGACAGAGTGTAACAGAAGAACAATCTGTTTATTGGATCAGCTTCTATTCAGACTTCGCACCTGTCACAAATCATGACAGTGTTGCAATATTGCGGCGTAACATGTATTCTCTCTTCCCCCACCCAACACACCCACCCACCCACACACACCCCACCCCACCCCCATGGCAATGCACGACATGGCAAATAAGTATCAGCGAATGAGAAGCTAGAAATAATTCATGTAAATAGGAGTTATGGAAAGGTCGTTAATATAAAAAATAACAATAAAAACAACAGTAATTATAACATATCTATTATAAAGGGCTTGCTAAAAGAGCACACACGAAGTGACTAACGCTGGAAGAGACGTGATGTCCCAGACTTAAATGACAGAAGTGGCGGCAGACTTCATCGTGAGTGGTAGTGAGAACCAGAATGTTTCAGAGGGGTCAAACGAAACAAGCAACAGGGTTCTACGTTGTTTCACAAATCTCGTCGTTTCCCGTACTTCCATGAAGAAGTTCCAAAGGAAACTCTTCACAGTTATACTTTATTGAACAATTATGTCGTTAAATTACTAAGACAGCAATCTCTCGCCTTAACAACCCATAACATACAAGAGTTCAATCCCCGCGCTTCTTGTCTCTGACACATCTCTTGATAAATTTGCATATATAGGCATCTTCATATGAGCGCCAAAACACTGGCGACAGTTTGGCGCCAATTTGAACATTGCCATTCTGAGATCATGCTCATATGGTCACATAGTCCATGCAACTGAGAACTTTATGACTCTTTGATCAAAGTCGTGGCATTCATAGGGCTTATTATAAGAAAATATGAAAAGCGTGTTAATTTGGGCCATAGTTGTTTCCCCGTGTCCCGAAGAGCGGATAAGCACCGATCGATAGTTAGACAACATTCGATATCTTTGTTCGGTGGAAGACTTTGATTGATTATATGATACAAGAGCTACCTCTCGCTGGAGTGATGGTTGTGAATATTGCCCGTCAGAGGCACTTCCTATACAGCATGGTCGGCCGACAGGGGATTGGGTATTTGCATATGACACTACATCAAACGAGTTCTAATTAGTGAGGCTGCCTTGATTTCAAGGGTCATAAACACGATGTGCAGTTTCAAGACTTTCGACTACTGTGCGTCCTCAGATATCAGTACAGTATATATATGTTGTATGTAAGATAAAAGCTGAGCCGTGTTACTGTATCGCAGTCCTCTGTGAGAATCTCTTTCCGAGTACAGAAATCTTGATACATAGAAACACTTTCTCGTAGTGTTCCTTATACATCAATAGTTTTATTTATAGATAGTGTGCCTTATACAACGACATCCTTATACATCGATAGCGTTCCTTATACATCGATAGCGTTCCTTTAATGTTCCTTATACATCGATAGTTTTATTTATACATAGATAGTGTGCATTATACATAGAAAGTGTTGATATTACATCGACAGTGTTCCTTATACATCCAGTGTTGATATTACATCGATAACGTTCCTTTAAAGTTCCTTATACATCGACAGTGTTCCTTTAATGTTCCTTATACATCGACAGTGTTCCTTTAATGTTCCTTATACATCGACAGTGTTGATATTGCATAGATAGTGTTCCTTTAATGTTCCTTATACATCGACAGTGTTGATATTGCATAGATAGTGTTCCTTTAATGTTCCTTATACATCGACAGTGTTGATATTGCATAGATAGTGTTCCTTTAATGTTCCGTATACATCGATTGTGTTCCTTTAATGTTCCTTATACATCGACAGTGTTGATATTACATCGATAGTGTTCTTTTAATGTTCCTTATGCATCGACAGAGTTCCATTAATGTTCCTTATACATCGATAGCGTTCCTTATGTATCTAGAGTGGCTACGTGAACTGGGAGAGACTACGACAACAAGGGTGACGACTTGAACTAGAGAGACTACGGCATCAAAGGTGACGACTTGAACTAGAGAGACTACGGCAACAAGACTGACGACGTGAACTACAGTGACTACGGCATCAAAGGTGACGACTTGAACTAGAGTGACTGCGGCAATAAGGATGACCACGTGAACTAGAGAGACTACTGCAGCAAAATCGACATGGGCAACTTATGCCGCCTTCAGCTCTTACATTCGACGTATCTGTCACCACCGATAAAGCATGGCTACAGTACATTAGCTCCGAAAACCAACATCAATGGGTGCATGGATAAAATGCTTTTCGAGATATTAATTAACCAGAAAACGTCTTTGGAGTTCTGGGGTACTCTCGCTCTGTCAGCCATAGCGCGATTACATCCGACAAAGCACGTGACCCCTTCAGCAGGTTATCATGGCGCGTGCTACACACTGAAAGCACGTGGAATGGTGACGGTGATGCTCAAAGTAGGTCTTGAATAGGGAAATGTTTCGGAGGGAAATGTAATTGAAAAAATAGTATTTAAACAATCTCTTTTGTGCTGAAAACATTTGTTTCCCGTAATATTACGGGTTAAAAGTGAACTATCGTAAGGAAGGTTCATTAAACGTTTTGACTTAAACAGGCCAACATATTTTCGGAATGGTGATTAATTAAGGTAACATGTGGGGTTTTAATTTATCTACATTCGGCCCTCTTTATAACGCCCCTGTTTGCCAGGCCACTTTTGTGGTATCAAATTGCAGCATTACAAAGATACGTCTTAAAGAGGTTTGACAGTGTCCTGAATAGACTGTGCAGTCAAATACTTACTCTCTGTTAATAATTCTTCTGCTCTCTTTTCCGCAGCTTCTGTAAACAGCACCACTTTATACATAAAGCATCTGTCAGTAGACATATGATTAAACAATATAGACCACATTATACATGGAGCATCTGTGAGTAGATATATGATAAAACAATATACATGTACATATACCACATTATATATAAAGCATCTGTCAGTAGACATATGATAAAACAATATAGACCACATTATACATGGAGCATCTGTAAGTAGATATATGATAAAACAATATATACCACGTTATAGATGAAGTATCTGTGAGTAGATAAATGCAAATTATGAAACAATATATATCACGTGATACAGAGGAAGAGAAACCTGTGAAATTGTGTTCAAATATGCTCCAAAAACACCAGGGACTGGTTATAAAGGACAACGTCTTCTTAAGAAGGGTGTACGTTATATCTACAACAGCGAGCTAGGCTAGAGTATCTTGTCAGTGTGAGTGAGTGACGTGTGTTGACGCCGTCTGTTTGCAATATTTCAGCTATGACATATGGGGGACTTCCCATCGTCAGCATATGGGGACTCGAACACAGACTCGCGGTGTGTGTTAACCACTGGACTATCATATTACTACTTCGGAGCCAGTGAGTCTTTCACGGAGCGCAGAGGTATATTCGTGACCATTCCGCTTGTATTGCTGGAAAATTCACTGACGTAAGGAGAGCGTCTATCCACAAACTCAGCCATGTTGTTTCGAAAACCTTACCAACTTAACACCACTGACCATTGAAACACTCGACGGTCACTCGCTGTTGTGTTGGAGTTTTCTGAGAACAGTATTTACCCAATGAATTCATTCCGTATCCGGACTTTAATCCGAGGTCAAATATTGTAGTCACCAGAAAAGAGCCGTGTGCAAAACCAACATTTTCGTGGTATGTGGAGAACTACAGCCCATTCTGTTGGTGGACTTCGCAAACGGGCCTTTGACAGAATTGTCTGTGAATGAATTGTTCAAGTGGAGTCTGTAATATGTATGGGCCTCTTTTCAGCAGGGGGAGTGATAAGCCCCATGTGCGACTGCTACTTTGTACCACAAAGGGTATACATCCGCAACAATCAGCAAACAGTGTAACAGTTGTGAGCAAATATTGGTATATTGGAGGTCCAGTCCTCCACAGTTCACTGGCTATACAGGTACTACGTTATGAAAGCAACATCAACAGTTGTCAGCAATTACAACGGCCTTGACTGTGATATGACCTCTTGACGAAATAAAGAATACCATTTTAGTCTGCTTCGTTGTTTTTGTTTCGTACATAGTTATATTACATTAAGGCATTTTTCTGTCATTTATCACATACTTCATAAAGTTATGATACATAAAGGCATTTTGTGTCATTTATCACATACTTCATAAAGTTATGATACATAAAGGCATTTTGTGTCATTTATCCCATATAGTTATATACATAAAGAGGCATTTTGTGTCATTTAACATAGTTCATATATAATAAAGGCATTTTGTGTCATTTATCACATAGTTCATATAGTTATGATACATAAAGGCATTTTGTGTCATTTATCACATAGTTCACATATAGTTATGATACATAAAGGCATTTTTGCGTGGTAATTTATCACATAGTTGACATAGTTTATGATACATAAAGGCATTTTGTGTCATTTATCACATACTTCATATAGTTATGATACATAAAGACATTTTGTGTCATTTATAACATACTCATATAGTTATGATACATAAAGGCATTTTGTGTCATTTATCACATACTTCATATAGTTATGATACATAAAGACATTTTGTGTCATTTATCACATACTTCACATAGTTATGATACATAAAGGCATTTTGTGTCATTTATCACATAGGTCATATAGTTATGATACAAAGGCATTTTGTGTCATTTATCATTTTGTGTCATTTTTGTGTCATTTACACATACTTCACATAGCTATGATACATAAAGGCATTTTGTGTCATTTATCACGTAGCTCATATAGTTATGATACATAAAGACATTTTGTGTCATTTATCATACACTTCATATAGCTATGATACATAAAGACATTTTGTGTCATTTATCACATACTTCATATAGTTATGATACATAAAGGCATTTTTGTGTGTCATTTATTACATAGGTCATATAGTTATGATACATAAAGGCATTTTTGTGTCATTTATCACATACTTCATATAGTTATGATACATAAAGACATTTTGTGTCATTTACAACATACTTCACATAGTTATGATACATAAAGGCATTTTGTGTCATTTATCACATACTTCATATAGTTATGATACATGAAGACATTTTGTGTCATTTACAACATACTTCACATAGTTATGATACATAAAGCATTTTGTGTCATTTATCAAATACTTCATATAGTTATGATACAGGAAGGCATTTTGTGTCATTTACAACATACTTCATATAGTTATGATACATAAAGGCATTTTGTGTCATTTATCATACACTTCATATAGCTATGATACATAAAGACATTTTGTGTCATTTATCACATACTTCATATAGTTATGATACATAAAGGCATTTTTGTGATAATTTATTACATACTTCACATAGTTATGATACACAAAGACATTTTGTGTGGTAATTTATCACGTAGTTCATATAGTTATGATACAGGAAGACATTTTGTGTCATTTATAACATACTTCATATAGTTATGATACATAAAGACATTTTGTGTAATAATTTTGTGTCATTTACATACTTCATATAGTTATGATACAGGGAAGACATTTTGTGTCATTTACAACATATATGATACATAAAGGCATTTTGTGTGGTAATTTATAACATAGCTCATATAGTTATGATACATAAAGACATTTTGTGTCATTTATCACATACTTCATATAGTTATGATACATAAAGACATTTTGTGTCATTTATCACATACTTCATATACTTATGATACATAAAGGCATTTTTGTGTGGAAATTTATTACATAGGTCATATAGTTATGATACATAAAGGCATTTTGTGTGGTATTTTATCACATACTTCATATAGTTATGATACATAAAGGCTTTTTTGTGTGGTAATTTATTACATAGTTCACGTAGTTATGATACATAAAGGCATTTTGTGTGGTAATTTATCACATAGTTCATATAGTTATGATACATAAAGGCATTTTGTGTGGTAATTTTTTACATAGGTCATATAGTTATGATACATAAAGGCATTTTGTGTGGTAATTTATTACATAGTTCACGTAGTTATGATACATAAAGACATTTTGTGTGGTAATTTATCTCATAGTTCACGTAGTTATGATACATAAAGGCATTTTTGTGTGGTAATTTATCACATAGTTCACGTAGTTATGATACATAAAGGCATTTTGTGTGGTAATTTATTACATAGTTATCATTTTATTGTATTTTAAAAATATCATATATGAAGAATTCTGTATTTAATATACAAAAAGGTATAATCTTTCATTAAAGAAACTAACTTCAACAATTTGTTTGGTCATGTATATTCTGAGTTGAAGAATATAAATGCACAAGAAAGGAAGAAATCTGACACACTCCCTTGGACATTAACTGCATAAAGCCGCTTATAAACCTCATTCACTCACTCACTGAATAAACCTCACTCACTCACTAAGTTTTCACAGCTCAGTTTTATGAAACAGAAGAAAAAAATAAATTTTTCGACGGGAACAAGTTCCACATCACTGAGGTTTTCCTGTAACTAGACCCACCTTTAACCATTGTTCTAAACTCTGCCAACATTTCCTCCTTGGTGATCATCGCCCCGGGGGGTCCTGGAGGTCCCTGGGGGCCAGGGGGGCCGGGCGGACCAATGAGGCCATGCTGGAACAAACACAGTGATATGGGAAAGGTATATGGCACATTACACGAGTTATACGTGTGTGAGATAGCAGTTGAAAGTACTTGACAATGTCAGTCAGATAGACGATAGTATCTGTCAATAATAATATAATGCTTATGTTGACACGGTAAATAAGTTTGATCATTAATTGATGGACAAATAAACTTGAATGCTTGCAAAATATTGTGGGTCGGGGTTGGGTTGGGGTGGGGTATGTGTGCAGGGTAAGGAATGTGTTGGGGCTGAACATGGACACAGACAATATCAGCATGGAGACGGACAATATTAACATGGACAGGGACAATATCAACATGGAGACGGACAATATCAGGAGGCGGACAATATCAGCATGGAGACGGATAATATCAACATCGGCACGGGCAATATTAACATGGACACGCACAATATTGACATGGGCACGGACAATATCAGCATTGAGACGGACAATATCAACTTGGACACGGACAATATCAACTTGGACACGTACAATATTATTATGGACACAGACAATATCAACTTGGACACGGACAATATCAACATGAGCACGGACAATATTATTATGGACACAGACAATATGAACATCGGCACGGACAATATTAACATGGACACGGACAATATTAACATGGACACGGACAATATCAACTTGGACACGGACAATATCAACACGGAAACGGACAATATTCACATGGAGACGGGCAATACCACCACGGACACGGGCAATATTAACACGGAAACGGACAATATTCACATGGACACGGACAATATTAACACGGAAACGGACAATATTCACATGGACACGGACAATGTCAACAAGGACAGGGAAAATATAAACACGGACTCGGACAATGTCCGCATGGTCAAGGACAATGTATTGGGCAACTGTAAGACCTGTGCTACGAGTGATTTCACCTGCAATGAGTCGTGGCATTGTCAGGTACATGCAGAGTTACATGAGGTGCACGTGCGTGCGTGCGTGCGTGTGTCTGTGTGCGTGCGTGCGTGTGTGTGCGTGCGTGTGTGTGTATGCTGAGGTGAGGAAGAGGGAGAGGGGGAAGGGGGAGGAAGTTATGTGACACAAGCCGTGCTAGCATAGTTTCACTGGTTTCCGAGTAACAGGGGAGAATGTAAAGAGAGAAAAAAAGGTTGTCGCCGGACACACTCACTTGGGCCTTCGGCTCAGAGGAACGCAAAAGGGAGCCCTGGCTTGTCTTTCTTACCAATGTTTTCCTTTTTTTCTTCCGTTTATTCTTTGACATTTTCCTATTGTTTATCCTGTCTGAATGGCGAACGAATTCTAACCAGCTGCCTTTGGGGTCAAGCGGGGGTCGCGTTCGTATTTCCTGAAACAAATGGCGATGATTAAAAACTACGTATGGTTCTAATGACTCATAATTGAACGGAAACCAAAACATGCTTCATGATAACTTCACCATTACTGTCAACTTGACTTACGAAGAGCCGGAATCAGTTCTCGACATGGGTACACCATGTAAAGCCTTCTCCGGGTGTCCCCTGCTGTACCAGGGAGGCAGGGGTCACAACAGTCTTCCGTTAAGAGTCTTACTTTCAAGTATCGAGTGTTTACCCTCTGAATCGTATTCGCTCCACCTCAGAACATTTCGGGGTCAGATCGCAATATTAAATGGTTAGATCGCACTATTTAGTTGTCAGATCGCACGATTTAGTTGTCAGATCGCACTATTTAGGTATCAGATCGCACTGTTAAGTGGCTAGATCGCACTATTAAGTGATCAGATCACACCATTAAGTGATCAGATCGCACTATTAAGTGATCAAGGCTTACGAACGTCCACTAGCCCCGAAAATATAAAACAAGACAGTCAAGAAAGCCAGTTGATAGCTGCTGTACATCTTGTTTCGTTCATATTCTCAGACCAAATAGAAACCCAAGAGCATGATATTATGTATGTTTACACTTTGGGACAAAGCTCTTCAAAAGCGGGTAATATAAGCCGGACAGGATACAAAAAGCCGACTGAAACATTGCAAGCATTCCCGCATTTAAAACCAACGTGGCCTCAGTGACGTCAGGCTGTCTCTCAGCGTCACGTGTGGTCGGTTGACATTTTGTCAAGTGGCGAAGCTGGTTATGAAGCGCCAAACAGTCGATGTAGTTTCTTTACAGTGTTGTTTCAAAGCAAATAAGTCGTTTCGCCATTAAATAACCTTTACAGCCAGATGAACTATGAAAGGCAGGGGAGACAATTAAGTACACCTTACAGTGAACGAGCTCTTCTCGCGATCTACCGCCGTGCGCGAGACCTACAGGGGTGATCTCTCCTCACAGACTGAAGATCAACTCAAGGACGGTCATTCGCAACTCTTTACCTATGTCTACGCATGCGCAGACGAAAATCGTGAGAGAGGCTTGTGCTTTATACACACTGCTCCCATCAAGAAGCCATCAATTGAAAATGACTTCCGTGTCTCATCAAAAACACGGCCTCTTGACTTTTGGAGAGATTGTGTTATAAACGTACAAAGATTGGATGATATATCGACTGCTGCGTTGAGTCATTCTGAGAAATAACCCAAATATCATAGAAAGCCATCATTGCCTGCCCGTACTTACAGCCTTGGACTAGTTTGGGCCGCAACAAAAGAGGATATAGTTTTTAAAGTAATTTTACACCAAAGTATAACATTTGGTAATTCTTAAATCCAAATAAAACTAAACGGTGGGCGTACCCTATTTTCATTTCATATTCTAAGAGGGCAGCGTGCGTACTAAATATACAGTATATAGGAAAGAAAATACATTTATTGGAGTATTTGTTGTAAGAAGGTGGATTAGGCGTATGGTCACAGTTCTTGGGCGTGCTACGCCTGATCCTAATTGCTATATTTAAGCGAAAAATAGGTAAACATCATTATGCGCAGCATTACAACCATATGAAAAAGTAGTTCCACACTTGTACTGCAAACCCCGTCCCCTGGCAGACCAGCAAGTGGAAGAATTTTATTGATGTGAAATAAACAAAGCCAGTGTTATCAACTGCAGGTCGGGCAATGAAGGGGTCACGTGTGATAATGAGATAAATATGATTCTGTGAGAATCTGTGAGAAAACGTTCGTGCAATAATATTTGTAGGAACAAACAGCGGAGTATACTAAATACACATTTCGTCAAACGGCAGAAAGAGGCACCGGGGTTTGGACCGGCCTAGTGGGTAAGGTGCTCGATACGATGTTATCTTTTCCTCCAGTTCATATTTACAGGGCTGTGAAAGATAACAGGTGGTTGACATATTTAGCAAAATCCAAAAACTGTGTCTTATCATACAAATGGGTTTGGGATAACTGAGTTTATGACATAAAGGATTAAAGATAACTGAGTTTATCACATATGCGGGTTAGAGATAACTGAGTTTATCACATATGCGGGTTAGAGATAACTGAGTTTATTACATATGCGGGTTAGAGATAACTGAGTTTATCACATATGCGGGTTAGAGATAACTGAGTTTATCACATAAAGGATTAAAGATAACTAGTTTGTTTGAGTGGCATTTTAGAAGTTGAGACGTACAATATATAACAAGTTTTATGGATAACAACTTCTTTATAAAGAAGTTGTTATCCATAAAACTTGTTATATATGATAACTAGTTTGTCAGTCATGCGTTTTAGAGATAACCGCGTTTATTATATAGGACAGCAGTTAGCGTCAGCCTAGAATTTCATATAAGTGGGTTAGAGATTTATTATATAACAGTGTTAGAGATAACTGACTTTATTGCATAAAATGTTTTGAGATAACTGATCATGAGTTCATCATTTATGCGGGTTATCAAATAGACAGGACAGAGGTAATTGAGTTTATCATATAAAGCAGGTTAGAGGTAACTGAGCTTGTCATATAGGCGTGATAAAGATAACTGAGCTTGTCATATAGGCGTGATAAAGATAACTGGGCTTGTCATATAGGCGTGATAAAGATAACTGAGCTTGTCATATAGGCGTGATCAAGATAACTGGGCTTGTCATATAGGCGTGATAAAGATAACTGAGCTTGTCATATAGGCGTGATAAAGATAACTGAGCTTGTCATATAGGCGTGATAAAGATAACTGAGCTTGTCATATGGGCGTGATCAAGATAACTGGGCTTGTCATATAGGCGTGATAAAGATAACTGATGGTTGTCATATAGGCGTGATAAAGATAACTGGGCTTGTCATATAGGCGTGATAAAGATAACTGAGCTTGTCATATAGGCGTGATAAAGATAACTGAGCTTGTCATATAGGCGTGATAAAGATAACTGAGCTTGTCATATAGGCGTGATAAAGATAACTGAGCTTGTCATATAGGCGTGATAAAGATAACTGGGCTTGTCATATAGGCGTGATAAAGATAACTGAGCTTGTCATATAGGCGTGATAAAGATAACTGAGCTTGTCATATAGGCGTGATAAAGATAACTGAGCTTGTCATATAGGCGTGATAAAGATAACTGAGCTTGTCATATAGGCGTGATAAAGATAACTGGGCTTGTCATATAGGCGTGATAAAGATAACTGAGCTTGTCATATAGGCGTGATAAAGATAACTGATGCTTGTCATATAGGCATGATAAAGATAACTGGGCATGTCATATAGGCATGATAAAGATAACTGAGCTTGTCATATAGGCGTGATAAAGATAACTGAGCTTGTCATGTCATATAGGCGTGATAAAGATAACTGGCTTGTCATATAGGCGTGATAAAGATAACTGGGCTTGTCATATAGGCGTGATAAAGATAACTGATGGTTGTCATATAGGCGTGATAAAGATAACTGGGCTTGTCATATAGGCGTGATAAAGATAACTGAGCTTGTCATATAGGCGTGATATAGATAACTGGGCTTGTCATATAGGCGTGATAAAGATAACTGGGCTTGTTATATAGGCGTGATAAAGATAACTGAGCTTGTCATATAGGCGTGATAAAGATAACTGAGCTTGTCATATAGGCGTGATAAAGATAACTGAGCTTGTCATATAGGCGTGATAAAGATAACTGAGCTTGTCATATAGGCGTGATAAAGATAACTGGGCTTGTCATATAGGCGTGATAAAGATAACTGATGGTTGTCATATAGGCGTGATAAAGATAACTGGGCTTGTCATATAGGCGTGATAAAGATAACTGAGCTTGTCATATAGGCGTGATAAAGATAACTGGGCTTGTCATATAGGCGTGATAAAGATAACTGGGCTTGTCATATAGGCGTGATAAAGATAACTGAGCTTGTCATATAGGCGTGATAAAGATAACTGAGCTTGTCATATAGGCGTGATAAAGATAACTGAGCTTGTCATATAGGCGTGATAAAGATATCTGATGGTTGTCATAGAAGTGAGTTAGAGATAAATCAAAGAATGCATATGTGTTTTTCAGAACAGCTATTATCTACGAAGGCTCGGTAGAGAAGAAATCACCGTTTTGTTAACTGCCTCTGATATTTGTATGTTGTGTGTATGTATACGTGTGTATAACAATGTATCACGATATTGCACCAAAAATAATATACAAATTAACCATGATAAATGTAAAGTAGTTATCTTCGGAAAGAACGATAAATGCAACAAAAACTCACTCTAAATGGTCAGCACAAGGCAAAACGATAGCTACAGCTGACAGGTACACATATCTTGGAATACAACTTCATGCAAATGGAAAGTTCAAAAGTTGTATACAAGCACTCACTAGGAAAACCACAGGTGCATAGATATAGATTAAAAACATCGGTCTTCTATGACGATATTCCAGTAAAACTAGCAATAAAACTGTTTAAAACCCTCATAGATCCAATATATACAATTGTGAAGTTTGGGGTGTAGATTTTACAATGTTAAAAAAAATATTGACACACTGCTCCCAGAAAAACTACATCTTCAGTTTTGTATTTAATCATTCTTAGGAGTAGGCAAGAAAACACATAGCTGGGCCTGTCGCGCAGAACTAGGTGTGTACCCATTACTAGTACCAATCATCAACAAGATAATTGATTACAAGTTCCATATAGATAATACAACAAATATCATCCTTAAAGATGCCATGGAAGCTTATATCAGTCTTTGTGATCTCAATATAGGCTGGGTTCATAAAGTTAATGAAATACCGCAAACTTTTGAAATAGTGAACACGACTAAATGTAATTTATCTATATATATACTCCAGTCAAAATGTGAAGACATGTTCAAGCATTCATTGAGTGATTCTCTCACATCAAATAACAAATTAAGAACATACAGATTGGACAAGTCATCTATAAAACTCGAGAATTATCTATTTCATTGCAAAAACAACGCTCATAGATCACATTTCTCA